GTGGGTAGGCATGCGACTAGGGGAGCTTGACGCGTGCTATTTGTATGTCCAGACTGTGCGAGAGCTTGATGTGAATTTCTGTGTCGGAGAAGGGAATCGCCGGCGAGAAGGTTGGAATGGGGGGTGGGGGGTTAAAGATTTATTTTTGTAATTATAATTATAATTTTATTTATTTTAATTAATTATAAAAATGAGTTAAAAATCGTAAAATTTTATCAATTTTTTAATTGCCACGTCGCTCATTTAACGATCAACTATAGGACATGACTGTCACATTAACAAAAGTCAACGGAGACTAACGGAGAGTGACCAAACTTGAACGATTGAACTAATATTAGTGACCAGGAATGAAATAAAACAATTTTAGTGACAAAAGTGAATTTTTTTAATTATCTTAGTGACCAAACTTGCAATTTACCCTAAAATGAATACTTAACAAAAATTACACGAATTATGGATAAAATAAGATGATCTATCTCCCAACTTACTATTTAACGGCTCAAGATAGGGTGCATATAACCAAATCTGGACCCTTCATTTAGAAAATCCAGATCAAAAGATGGAGAATTAAAGACCATTTTTATTTTTCATAGTTTTCTTAATCGACTCATATCTTTTTCGTTTTAACTCGGATTTTAATTTTTTTTGCACAGATGGAATGAGTTCATCGTGCTCTACAAAATGACATCAATTTTCAATATTTTTTGAGAAAAAAAATTCGGGCCTCTCAGTACCAACTGCATACCATATGGTATCTTCTTCATTTTTAATTCATTTTTGAAAACGTTTGCATAGAAGGAACGAGTTCATCATGATCTATTGGATCTATAAATTTCTGGGTGAATAAATTACAAGACCAAAAAATACCACACAATACCACCCTGGTACGGGGTGGTATCTTGTGGTACACAATGTTAAAAGTCGTAAATCTACACATAATATAATACACCAAAGGGAAAAACGGGAGCCCCATTTCAAATTTCCTGCAACGAGAGTGAAAGTAGGAAGGACATTTTGGTCTTCACAATTACTTTTTTTTATTCATTAAAAAGACACATACTGAGATTCGAACCATGACCATTTTAAAGAAAAACAAGGATCATAACCAATCACACTAAGTACATTTGTTGTATCTTTTTAAATTAAAAACATATAATAGCAGGGAGGAAAATTGTTTTTCCCCATTTCAAATTTCCTGCTCCAGGAGCGTTTGTAGGAAGGGTAGAATAGGTAGTGTCAATTTTTTTCTCTTTTCTCTGTGGAACGGGCCAACTTACCGTACACATGCGGATTTAAACGGGTCCAGGAGTGTCAATTTTTTTCTTTAAGCCCTTTTACTTCTCCGTGGTGATAAACTGTATTTGAAAAGGAAAAAAAAATACTCCATTTTATTGCTAAAAATAAAAAATTTAATAATAAACTAATGCATGGTATCTAATGGGCTAACCGCTAACCATAAAATAAAAGAGTTGAATGGGTCTGACCTACACGGGATTTGGCCATCAAGTAAAACAAATGAACATCATTGGTTTGTCATTCTAAAACAAGCTATTTTCTCTGTCATAATATATATTATGCTATTATTTTATATCTTAGTGGCTAAATTATAATGTATTTTAAAGTTGTTCAATGGTTCAACCTCGACCAACCCAATTAGTCCAATTTTTATCATTTCAAATATATATTATATAATTATTTGATATCATAATGATCAAATTATAGTGGATTTTATAGGGAATTGTTTGGTATTTGTTAGTAAAAAAGTAAACAGAACGATCTATTTGGTTATTTTAAACATTAAAACGATCCTAAACATTTTCAGTTCCTTTTGAATTTTTATGGTTTTATTCCCGAATAAGTGATGTGCAAATGGCGAATTGCAGTCATCTCTTTTCTTTCACTATTTTTTATTTTCAAATAGAAAGTTTAAAAGTAAAGAATAATTCGAATTTGGCATGGGTCGGTCAAACATGTTGAATTTCAAGTTTTGGCCCGTTTTGATCAAGTCTAATTTATAATCACATGGTTCCCTGATACCCGATAAAAATCTCAATCCAAACCAGTTTGGCAGGTGAGTCTGTGTTTACCACCATTTTCTAAGGATACGACAACTAGGGGTGGGCATTGGGTGGGTCGGGTGGATTTTGACCATAAAATGCACCCACCCGCTCTTAAACGGATTGATAATTTTTAACCCACCACCCACCCATATTTAGTCTCGGGTTGGGTCGGGCGGATGGTGGATGATGCGGGTGGGTTTGTGGGTTCACCCACATCACAATGTATATAATATAAAGGAGTCAACTTGAAGAGAATCATCGAGGGAAACAAGAAGTTGAAATAGGGCGAAAAATTTCGAATTAGTTCTTAAATTGGATAGAAATTCTATTATGAAAGAGTTTTCTACAGATTGAGACGATTATTAGGTGCAAGGAACTAAGGAAAATAATTCCACAAAGGAAAGAGCGGTGATCTAGGCACAAGAATTAGAGGAAAAAGTAAATGGAAGAAGAGGGGATCTCTATTTGGAAGGTTGGCTTTGAGGTTCAAACTCCAGGAGCAGTCTGAGTTTATATCTAACGTCTCCACTCTCCTCTCTCTAGCGCCAACGACTTTTATCTTTTTGATGTTGGGTTGAGCGGGTCACCCGCACACTCACCTACAACCCACCCACCACCCGACGGATGGCTCCCAGCGCAACCCGTCACCCACCCACAGACCCACCCACTTAACAAAATTCGGGTCAAATGCGGGTGGGTCGGCCCAAACCCGCGGATGATCCGCCCGCATGCCCAGCCCTAACGACAACGGCGGTTCCTATCCCAAATCGTGATGTTCGTTCTTGATTTCCTTAGATTTTATCATGGCCAAACAAAAACCTGACGACAAGATGAAAGTTTTATAAAGCAAATTAATCGACGAACGGGCCGAGTAAAAGCTAGCAACGATTGTGAGATGCTCATTTCCCGAAACCGACGGGATAGGCCATTTTTTATTCGATTTTCTAGAATTCGGTTTCTATAAAACTTACTCCACCTCATCATATTACCAGAAACAATATTGTTTCACAAGGTAACATGTACTTGATTTTGGTTCATAAGGCCGATTTTTGATTCATTGCATCATTCATCTCTCTTTCCTGCTAAAATTCACTATTTTTATCACGAGTTTCCCAAAAAAAACTATACAACAATAAGCTATACACCCCATTACATTATCAAATTTCATACCTCACCTTCCTTCGGCCAACTGGCCGGGGCCACACTAGTGATAGTTAATATACTTCTACTATCATGTATTCAACCATCCTACAGTCTTGGTTTGTTTCTACCACCATGGTACGCTTTCCAAACCATATGTATGCTCTTATTTCAATACCAGTCAATACTAGGGCTGGCAACCGGTCGGTTTCGGTTTAACCGAAAACCGAAAATTCGGTTTTCGGTTAAACCGAGACACCCCCTATAGCTGCCGACCACCGACCGAAGAGTGGTCACAGTCAGCCGACCAACCGACCGATCGGTTCCGGTTTTAGGCTCGGTTAGCCGGCCAACCGAAAAAAAATACATTTTAAAAAAAAAAAATTAAATAAACCGGAAAAAGCTCCACCACTCCTTTCTTATCAATATCTCACATCCACACCATCGCTAAAAAAAAGAAAAGAGAGAAATGGAAAGAATGGGAGAGACAGACAGAGAGAGAAGGCCCAAGCTCTCAAGATCAAGATCCAAAAAAAATTGCAGATCCCCCTTCGTCTTCTTCTTCCCCCCACATATATATCTCTCTGTTCCCATCTCTCAAAATCCACCGGCCGGCGAGGCGGGCGGCGCGCGGCTAGGTGGGCGGCGCGCGGCGAGGCAGGCGGCGCGCGGAGAGGCGCGCAGCGACGGAGGCAGGGGAGGGCGGCGACGGAGGCAGGGCGGCATGTTGTGGTGGCGGTGGAAGGAGGGGTAGCGGAGGAGGCAGGGGAGGGCGGCCACCGGCCGGAGTCGTCGTCGAGGGAGGATGAGGGAGGAGGAGGGAAGATGGAGGAACGAGATGTCAGAGGAGGGAGGATGGGGAAGAAGGAGGGAGGATGGGGCTGCTCACAACTGCTAGGGTTTAGGGAGAGGTGGGTGGTTTTATTTAGGCCAAAACGGGGTCGTTTAGCGTCGGTTAGCCGGTTAACCGACCTCGGTTTTTCGGCTAACCGCCTAACCACTGAACTCATCCGACAACCGACCGCCACCCATTTTTTTCGGTTTTCGGTTAGCCGCTAACCGGCGGTTACCGGTTAGACCGGCCGGTTAGTCGCTAACCGGCAACCGAACTGACAGCCCTAGTCAATACCATATGGTATAGACTGGTAAAAAAATGTGTAATTTTTTTTGTTCGAAAAATATATCAAAGTGGATATCATTTTGAAGAGCATAATTAATCTGATCTAACTGTGCAAAAAATTAAATTTCGACTTAAAACGAATGAGAAATCGTCCGTCAAAGATTAAGGAGGGGAAAATTAAAGACTTTTCAAAAGAGATGTTTTTGTCATGCTGATGTGGACCGGTTACTCATCATAAGTTTACTGATCTAATGTGTTCTCCTATTTAACAATGGTGACTTCATGTTATTAATTAGAGATTAGGAAAGGTACAAACGACACACAGCAAAACACCCGGGCACAGATTGATCCATCATGGATAAAAAATTGTCTTTAACACAGCAGTCAGCTGCAACAACCAAAGACAGATTCTCCTGGCTCACCTCGTTCCAAGTCAGTGATCCTGATTGACAACCAAATAGATTGTTAGTGGGTATCTCTATTAAATCTCTTTCAATAATTCAAGTTACGATTGTTGGATTAACTGATTCTTGACATACAAATGATACAATTCAACAAAGTAATCTACTAGACTGCTACTGCAGGCAGCCAATAAAAGTATATGTATAGTGGTGTACCGCACCAAAACAGCCAACAGTCAAGATCGATCAAGCTCAACCATGGCGGTTGGCTCATCATCCATGGCCACCGAAGGAGGATTAACCAGCAGCAGCAGCAGCAGGAGGGAGTACAACGGCAAGATCACCCCCTTCGTCGCACTCTCCTGCATGATGGCCGCCATGGGAGGCGTCATCTTCGGCTACGACATCGGAATCTCAGGCGGAGTCACTTCCATGGAGCCCTTCCTCGAAAAATTCTTCCACCAAGTCTACACCAAGATGAAACAGGACACCGAGGTCAGCAACTACTGCAAATTCGACAGCCAGCTCCTCACCTCCTTCACTTCCTCCCTCTACGTCGCCGGCCTCGTCGCCTCCTTCTTTGCCTCCTGGCTCACCAAATCCCGCGGCCGGAAGCCTTCCATCCTCCTCGGCGGCGGCGCCTTCCTCGCCGGAGCCGCCCTCGGCGGCGCCGCCTCCAACGTCTACATGCTCATCTTCGGCCGCGTCCTCCTCGGCGTCGGCGTCGGATTCGCCAACCAGGCCGTCCCTCTCTACCTCTCAGAGATGGCGCCGCCGAGGTACAGGGGAGCAATCAACAATGGATTCCAGCTCAGCGTCGGGATCGGAGTACTCGCCGCGAATCTCATCAATTTCGGCACCGAGAAGATCAGATCCGGATACGGATGGCGGATCTCGCTGTCGATGGCGGCGGTTCCCGCGGCGATTCTCACCGTCGGAGCGATTTTCCTCCCGGAAACCCCCAGCAGTCTAATTCAGCTCACAAACGACAAAGACAGAGCAAGGAGGCTGCTACAGAGAGTCAGGGGAACTTCGGAGGTCCAATCGGAGCTAGCGGATCTGATCGAAGCGAGCGAGCTATCGAAATCAATTGATCATAACCCGTTCAGGAAGATTCTGGAAGCCAATTACCGGCCCCAGCTGGTGATGGCGGTCGCGATTCCGTTCTTCCAGCAGGTCACCGGAATCAACGTCATCGCCTTCTACGCTCCCCTGCTCTTCCGGACGATCGGGATGGGGGAGAGCGCCTCTCTGATGTCGGCGATCCTCACCGGCGCCGTCGGGATTGCGACGACATTCTTGTCGATGGTGATTGTCGATCGAGTCGGGAGGAGGCCTCTGTTTTTGGTCGGCGGGGTGCTGATGCTCGTGTCGCAGGTGCTGGTGGGAGCGATTATGGCGGCGGAGCTAGGGGACCACGGCGGGATCGGGAAGAGGTACGCGGTGGCGGTGATAGTGCTGATAGGTTTCTACGTCGCCGGGTTTGGGGTGTCGTGGGGGCCGTTGGGGTGGTTGGTTCCCAGCGAGATTTTCCCCCTGGAGATTCGGTCGGCGGGGCAGAGCATTGTGGTGGCGGTGAGCTTTCTGTTTACTTTCGTGGTGGCGCAGACGTTTTTGTCGATGCTGTGCCATTTGAAGGCCGGGATTTTCTTCTTCTTTGGCGGGTGGGTGGTGGTGATGACGGTGTTCGTGTATCTGTTGTTGCCGGAGACGAAAGGTTTGCCGATTGAGAAGATGGGCGACGTGTGGAGAGAGCATTGGTTCTGGAACAGAGTAGTGGTGGTTGGCGGCCCCGGGGTTGGTGAGCATTTACCCGCCAAATTTGGAGAGGGAGGCAGTCAAAGCTCCGTCGTTGACTTGTGACGTGGACACCAGTTTTGGCGTTTTGCTCTGTTTCTTTTGCTATGTGCCGTTTGTTCCGTTGTGTAAAATGTAAATACGGTTAGTATATTACAGACACTTCCAAATAAATGAATAATATATCGAGTTGTAATACCGATCATAAAAACCGGATTATTATTTTTAATGAATAAATCACATTTTTTATGTTGACTGCATGATATTAGGGATGGCAATCAAACCCATGGCCGCGGGTAGGGGTGTCATTCGGTCGGTTTCGGTTTAACCGAAATCCCGGTTATCGGTTAAACCGAGACTCTCCCTATGACTACCGACCACCGACCGTGAGAAAGCCACGGTTAGCCGGTCAACCGACCGGCCGGTTTCGGTTTTAGGCTCGGTTAGCCGCAAAAAAAAACCCACCCCTTCTTTCAAAACGATTGCGTTTAACTAATAAAAAAAAATACATTAAAGAAAACCATCCTCATCTTCCTCACAGTCACAGTCACAACAACTGCTTCTCTCTCCTTACCTTTCTCCATTTTAGATCTGCCTTCTCTCTCCTTCCTTCTCTCTCCTTCCATCTCTCAATTTCAAATTGGAAAAAGCAGCAGCAGTCCCCATTCGCCAACAACAAAGGCGCGGGGGAGGAAGCGCTCGCCTGCTGAGGACGACGGAGGACGACGAGGCGATGACGGCGCGGGAGAGGAGGCGCTCACCTGACGGCCACCGAAATCCAATCCACGGCAGGAGGACGACGGAGGCGATGACGGCGCGGGAGAGGAGGCTGCATGCGTGGCGTTGTCGTTGACCGCGAGGACGAGCTGGTCTCCCGTGAGGTTGGCCAGTCGTCCGGCGACGGCGCGGAACTCGAAGGGCACGGCGGCGATGGCAGACTAGAGGAGCGGCGGCGATGGTGGACTGGAGGCGCGGCAGCGATGGCGGACTGGAGGAGCGGCGGCAATGGCGGACTGGAGGCGCGGCGATGGAGGATTGGAGGAGGGCGGCGGATTTCTTTCTTCTTTCTTCTTACTTCTTTCTTCTTCTTCTGGGTTTTCACTTTTCATTTTGAGAGGTGACAGGGTTGAGAAGAGAGAGGTCGGCTAGGGTTTGGGGGTCGTTTTGAGGGGGACGGGTCGTTTAGGAGGCTGGGTAAAGGCTCGGTTAGTCGGCTAACCGCCGGTTTCCGACCTCGGTTGGTCGGCTAGCCGAGCCTTCTCCCCTCGCTACCGAAAACCGACCAAATATAATTAAGGACGGTTTCCGGTTAGCCGAAAACTGGTCGGTTCGGTCGAAACCGACCGGTTAGCCGCTAACCGGAAAACCGATTGCCAGCCCCAGCCGCGGGTACCCGACCGCCCCCGACCCAGTCAACGCGGGTAATCCCTACTTTGACCGGGTATGGGGCGGGTATGAGTAAAACCCGCAAAAAGTTTGATGGGTATGGGGCGGGTATGGTTTTAGCCTCCCCCGCCCCATACCCATACCTATATCCGCCCCACCAAGAGAATTTATTCACATATACAAAAATTTGTGGATCAAATCGTAATCTATCAATGGTGATGAGGATAACTCAAGGAAATAAATAGTAGAAATGCAATTGAGTGACCACCTTAATCAAAACCTAATTCATTTCCCTCAATTCTCCTTTCATTCTTTCACTTTCCCCTTTGTCAACAAGATTATGTTAGTTAATTATTACTTAGTAGATGTATCAGAGTTAGAACATAATAATTTGAAAAATATTATACTCTATATTATGTATTAATAAATGTTTTAGGATCATATTCTTTGAATCGTATTAAGAAAATGATCATGTTTTGTTGAATTCGTGATATAAAAGGTACATTTAGAGTTGTAGTTAAAACTTTTCTTGTAAATTTTAGGATAATAATGTTGGATGTACGGGTACGGGTATTACCCATGGGTACCCGAAACCCACGAGTATGGGGATGGGTTTGCCAAACATTCCCCGCATGGGTATGGGGCGGGTATGGGTTTGGATATTTGAAGATGGGGATGGGGATGGTTTAGACAAACCCGCCCCAAACCCGCCCCATTGCCATCCCTACATGATATGGATAGTGTCTAAAAATTAGGATAAATACCAAAAAATAGCCAAACGGTTCAAGTCGTAGAATGAAATAGTAAAAAACTATCTAAAATACTATAAAAGGACCAAAATTTTTAATATGTTGCACCAATACAACAATAATTTTTATGGATTCCATCATTTCATCAATCTAGACTAAATAATGAGGTAATGAATCTCCTTTTCGCTATAGAACTTCACAATAAAATTCGTCGTAAGACTCATAATGATCAACTTCATGAAGATCCCATTGCACTCCCGAAGTTTCGTAGCAGTGCTCCTGATAGACATCAATTTATTGCTTCCTTTGCGCTAACAATACATATCCCTTCATCTCATTCTAAAAAGTTAAGATTTCGCGTAATGAGTTTTTCATATTCAATAACTCTTGTAAAAAAATAATCACAGAATTTATCTATCCAGGCATGTAATAGTGTTGATCTGACTAAGGGGAAGTGATGAGACAAGATGTTGTGATGTGACCATGGTTGTCAAATCGGGGTCAAACCGGCCGGTCCAACCGGGACTGGCCGGAACCGGACACTAAAATGGCCAGATCCAGCCATATTTAGAGTTGGCCGGTAGCCGGTCAAAATCGGTCAAAACTGAGGGAAACCGGGGTCTGACCGGACTGATCCGGCTACTGGTTTTGAGGAAGATGGCGTCGTTTTGGCTCCTCAGTCCTCCCTCGTCGAGCCAACCCTATCTGTATCTATTGCGCCGTCGTTCCCAAACATTCTCCCTCGTCGAGACCAGCCAGCAGAGCGAAGACACCTGCCCCAGCACAGCAGCCGCTCGCCGTCGGCGCTCCTCTCGTCACGCCACGCCGGCGCTCCAGTCGCCACTCCTCGCCGGTGCTGGCCTCTTCTCGATCCTGCTCTGCACTTCCTCGTCGTCGGACGCCTCGACCCAGGTCCCTAGCGCATCGACCCAGGTCCCCGCTCCCTCTACGCCGCTCGCCGTCGGCCGCCTCGACCCAGTGCCCCTTCCTCGACGCCGCTCGCCGTCGGCCGTCTCGACCTAGGTTCGATTTCGTTTTTCGGCAGTGGAATTGAGATTGGGTTGTTGTTTCAACTCTTATTTTGTTAATAATTTACTTGTTTTACAGGTTGATAGATGAAATCAGGCAATGGATCAAGTCAACTCATTAATTCCAAGTAAGAACAATTGAATGTTGTGGATTTTGCCAAGAACTTCTCCTTTGTGGATTTTGCCAAGAACTTCTCCTTGGAGATTGTTTCTTCTTCCACACTTCAGATTTGTTTTCAGATCTTGAAGTCGGTCTCTCGGGCTGTCCGGTTCTTGCTTGTGGGTGTCAGAGGGAGCCGCCGTCGGCGGTTTGTTCTCTTCTTTCATGTTTCTGTTATCTACCTCCACACGTTTCACCCATAAATGGGGGTGATTCGGAGATGTCACGGCTTGAATAGCCAAGGATACTGATTCATGGGGTGGAGAGCAGGGATCTCTTTCTTGCCGAAGTGTCTTTCGTCGCTTGCTCGGTTTGGTGGGGGCTTTATGCGATGGCCTCTTTTCACCTTTCTGCTCGCGTTTGGGGTCGCTCTTGTTTCCACCTGTGGGGGTTTGGGCTTCGTGGTTGTTCTTCCTCGTGCCTTCTTTTCTGGTCTTTTGGGTTTCGACGGTGGTGTTGTTGGTGGATCTGGGAGTGATTCTGGCGTCGATTCTCCCTTGCACACGTTCTCTGTTGCGGTCCTTTGTCGGAGAGGCTCTCCCACTTCATTTGCTGTTCTTCATCCGGCCTTGCAGGTGCTGATGATCTGGTGGTTGTGCCAGTTTTTCTCTCCTTCCGGCGAATGAAGTCTCTGACGGCATGAAGGGTGCTCAAGAAGGGTTGCTGGGTGGGGATGTTTGCGGCGGCCTTCTGGCTGATTGATGTTTCTTTGGGCTAGGTTTTCTTCGGGTGTAGGCTTTGGGTTCCCTTCCAGATTGTTGCTTGGGCTTTTTCTGCTGGGCTCTCTCTTTTTGCGCCTGTTGTTTGCCTTAATCTTGGATTTTCCTTCCTTTTGAGTGTTGCAACTCATCTCTGTACACTGTGTATGGTTTTATTTTCATTAATGAAACTCTACTCCTCGTCAAAAAAAAATTGAATGTTGTCATTTGTGGGATTTAAGTATGAATATTCTGATAAATGTTTGGATATTATTCACTTATTCTAGATGTCAGTGTTTAAAACTTCAAATGTGAGGATTTGGTTTGTAATGATGTATGTTATTTATATATAAATTTTATCAAAATCTTGTCAAAACTGGCTTAACCCGGTTGAACCCCGATCCGACCATTAAACCCCAAACCCCTTGTCAAACCGGCCGAATGACTTAACCCGGTTTGACAACCTTGAATGTAACATGAAGATAATATGTTTACCTTAACACATCAATGTTTATTTACACCATAAAAAAATTTCCACTTGAATTAATTATACTGAGAAAAAAACCACCCATTTACTTCGACAACATGAACCTATCCTACATCTTCCGCCCAAGTCTGCCGTCGTTCTATCTAGCCATCGCCATCACCATCTTCATAAAGCCACTGTCGTCTCATTTTCAAAATGCAATTTTTATACGAAAAATATCATTGAAAAATTACATTTTGGTACCTAAATTTTCTCATTATGACATTTTAGTACTTAAACTTTTTACATATTACATATTGATCCAAGGTTGAGGATATCATTTGGATTTATGGATAATCCACCAATCCACTTGATCCAATCCATGAATCTACTAACCCATTGGATCCAATCCATTTGAAGGGTTTTGATGCTCGAGGCAGCTCACTCCAAAGTTAAGTGTTTAAAGAGTTGAACCTGAGAATCTCATACAAGCCGATCAATCAAATTCAAAAATGCAGCAACACCTTTAAGATAGGTAACTTCTCAAAGATTGGACTGGAGGTTGACTTCTGGTTTGGTTAAGCTAGACGTGCTTCTTTCTACAGCCTTCTCCCCTAATATTTTGCCACGATTATGGCAAGGTTTTCCTTCCAAAATCACAGGCAGTTTCTTCTGGTCATGCATACCAAAGGTCCTTGAGGTACCACTGACCTTTTATTTGATCATCACAAGCTATGATCTGTGAACGAATTCGAGGAATCTTCTTCTTCAACGGAAGTATCTTCAAAGTCATAAGATGACGCAGAACAGAATCACAAACATCAGAATTTGGGCCTTTTGCATCTGCATGATTAGAGTCCTTTCAGGGACTCGAGTCTGAATTATGAAGATAGCAATTGAAACAAGCAAATACAAAACAAGTCATATAGTTGTAAAATGCTTCATGATACTTTCACCCGGTTAATTACGAAGGAGCAACTCAAGATCCCAAGGAAATACAAATTACGCTCCGAACTTTATCACAATTAAGTAAACGCTAGAGCAGGGAAACATGTCCAAATCTCCTAGCTCACTTAAAGGCTAGAAAATTGATGCACATTATCACAATTAAGTAAACGTAAGAGCAGGGAAACATGTTGTCCAAATCTCCTAGCTCACTTAAAGGCTAGGAAACTGATGCACATCGCTTGTAAGTAAATGACCCTAAAGTCTTGATAACATCCACCACACTCTCAGTTTGAACCTTGAGGCCAACAACCGTTTTTTACCCTAAGCAAGGGCAGATTAAACGTTTTTCATTCACCAACTACACACGTCTAACCATTTGGGGTTGGACTAGAATTCGGGATTATGAGGCGGAAAACAGGAACAGAAGCATTGACCATGTCCAATTCAGGATGCAGCTTCTTTTTATCATCTCACCAAACAAGAAATGATGCTGTCAGAATCATGAGATGCTAACCTGTTGTATAAACATCCGCATCCAAATAATATATATATACTTCTAGTCCTCCAAAGCCAAAACCAGGTGCAGTCTTTCCTGCGGATGGATCATAGGCAAGGATAACGGAAGGAGAGAGAGCAGCCATTAGATTCTGAAGTGAAATCACAGGAGGATAAATCTTACACTTGGAACCAAACAGATAGTCTCTGATTGTTAAAGCTTTATACTATTCCCAGGTCCTCCGTTACCAGATAACTCACTAGACACACAATTTCTGAATTACTAAATGGTACACAAGTGCCATATCAACAGAGAGTTCATCACAGGTGAGCTTTGAGAAGAAATATTATCATCATTGACAGGTCTGTCAAAGGAAATTGGATGGTCACTCTCATTATCTGTACCGATATATGAAATTTGACAACATCACTTGACGAAAAATTGCTACGACCTTTCTGGCTTTTCTACAAACATCTGCCAGCGAAGTTCCAAAATGCAGCCACATAATAACAAGAGGTGTGCGAAAGTGCTACAGTTATGTCAGGGGCATACTCCTATGCAAGAGGTGATAAGCCCTATCCAATCTTTGAAGCTTATACTTTAGATATATATCCTCCATAAGTACACATTAAACCTACAAAGAAAAACTATTTACCAGAGTGAATCTGTAGTTGATTCCTCAATTGACAGGCCATGCCACCATCCCATCTTCAGTCTCAGTTTCACCCCTGTTTGACGAAAGCGAAGCAGACACACACTAAGAGTTAGAAAATTTAGAGAGTAGAAATGTAAGGAACAATGATATAGGTCAAGCATAACAATAGACTCAGCTGCTGAAAAGCACTAGTTCATCAGTCACAGGATCAGGATAGCAGATGGTCTGTCATGAAAGTCTAGAGTAAGAAAGATTGTACATGGAAACAAAAGGAATAAGAAACAAAGAAGATCACGATCACATCTAGCAGTTTCATGAACATCAACTTAAGGATCTCAAATCATTCTTTGTAAACTGAAAATTTCCACCATTGAATACGAATGCAAAGGTAGAAATGAAAAAGCATAAGAAAAGGAATCCAGGGTAATTCTATAAATGTTTGAGCTGTTTGAATTTATTGACTATACAGAAACCAGCCACAGCATAAACAAAATGAATGTAATCAGTAATGACTTAAGGTTTAGAATAAAGGGTAAACCTTTTCTTTTGCTCTTTACCAGCTTGTATGCAAATGAGTTGCCAGGGATTGTGTTGAAGTTGTAAATCCAAATTTATCAGATTGTGTTGAAGTTGCCAAGGATCGAACCTCCAAGTCCTAAGAGAAATGAAAGGTGACAGATTACCAAATCACAGTTCAAATTCATTCCAGAAAAGGATAAGAGCAATAAACAATACAACTAGAAACTGGGGAACACTGTAAAACTGGAATGCATTAAACGAAAATTATTTTCCAATGCAGAGTTGCTTGAGTTTCCCCACATAAGATCTGATTCATAGAAAGATCATTTTAAATTGAACAACTGAAATAAAGAAGAACCTTGCATTTGGCCACTGGTCCTGAAGCATGCCTAAGAGAGGAAGAGCACTATTTGAAAGAAAAACCCTATCCTTACATGATACTCGAACAGAAAGCCAGCGCTCAGCAGCAGGGTACTAGAGTCAGCAGGAATATAGTACCAAGTCAGAAGTTCTTCAAGTGTTGCAAAATGGCTTATCCCTGGGAACATTATAGGTTATATGGCATATTAGTTTCATGATAGAAAAGAAACATATACAAGATGACCAAACATAGTTCTTCTAACTGCAGACATTGTGACTTCAACTACGATCATCTACTCAGAAAAAAGAACAGGACCGTGGCTAAAAAGGATAACAGAATAACCTTGGACCAAACTAAGAGGGAGACGGCGCAAGAACTTGAATATGAAGCAGGATTGTCAAAATCATGGCAAGTAGGAGGTCCAACAATTAAGTTCCAAATAGAAAGTTGGATGCAATAGACTCTTAGACTGAATAAGTGTGTTTAACCAGGTGAAGTGAGGTTCATGTGCTACATATATCACGGTCACCTGATAGAGAAGGGTTGGACATTAAAAAGCAATGAATAAGATGATAACATGGCAAAATACATCACCACAACAGATAAACACCAACTGACTAAAGAAGGGATCACAGAATCTGCAGTTGCATAAACTATTCACGTCATTGTCTTGACTCTTGACTTTGGTCTGTAGTGAAAAAAACAAGGACTAGGCCTTTCCACCCAAAAAAAGGACTTCGCCTTGTTTCCCTCTGCTACTTTCACTAACGTACCCCTATAAATGGATCAACATTTCTATCTTTGAGAGATACAGTGACACGAAGCAAGTGCAAATACTTTGGAAAGGAAAAAGACATAACTGATCCAACAATGATGGAGAATCCACAACTGTGGCTGAAGGAGCATGACAGTAGTCTTCCTGGGTCTTCTGGCAAAGGCAGAAATTGTGCTGTCGTCGAAATCTGAAGAATCATACTGACTACAAAAGCAACAACCATTTAAAGGTAAAGCATAGTAAATGAAAAAAGAAGGAACAAAAAATTGGATGTATGAAATATAAATACAACCTTTTTGTGTCAGAGGGTAATTGACAATATTAGATCACACTGTAGGCCAAGAATGTCGAGGTTTTGAATCCACAAGAAACCTATGAAGTCGACAATTTGCCTCGACAACACTGTGACCAGGCAGCTTTTTCAATTCCCTTTCCCTCATCAGGTTTCTCAACTTTGAAACATCTTCCGACCGCCCAGCATTTGCATAAACATGAGACATCATGACATACGAAGTTACATCCTGAGGATCCAACCTAAACAACTTCTCTGCAATGAGCTCAGCTAGTTCAAAATTGTCGTAAGTTCTACAAGAACCAAGTAATGCTCCCCAAACACTTGCATCTGCCTGCACTGGCATCATCTCAATGAACCTGTAAGCCTCGGTCAAACGGCCTGCTCTTCCATGGAGATCAACCATGCTAGCAAATTGCTCAATACGAGGAACGATGGAATAGTCATTAATCATGCTCTCGAAGTGCTTCCGTCCTTCATCTACTAAACCAGCATGTCTGCAAGCGCTCAAGACAGCTGTGAATGTCAAGCTATTTGGTCTAACACCCTCTTCTTTCATCGTTGAGAAGAATTTGAGAGCATCAGTTGCACGTCCGTGGTATGCCAAAGCCGAAATAATTGAAGTCCAAGACACAACTGTTTTTCCTGGCAACTTTTCAAAAACATCCTCTGCCAGTTCTATGCTCCCACATTTTGCATACATGTCAATGAGGGCATTCGAGACAGAAACATTGGTCTCCAACTCTTGCTTCTTGACTAGCTGATGTAACCATTTCCCAGTTCCCAATGCTCCCAAACTAGAGCAGGCGGAAATAACACTAACCAGAGTTATATGATCATATTCGACCCTCTCACACAGCATTCTTCGAAACAGCTTTATTGCAAGTCTTCCTATATTATTCTGCTCGTAAGCTGCAATCATTGCATTCCATGAAACCAGATTTTTCACAAACATTCCATCGAACAATGCTCTGGATGTATCAAGATGTCCACATTTCCCATACAAAGCAATCAAAGAGTTTGTCAATGAAGTATCAGAGTCCACCCCAACTTTGATTCCATACGCATGGATCACTTCTCCAAGGTTCAAAAATTCCAAGCCAGCACATGCAGGAAGGATGCTTGCCAAAGTGACTGCATTTGGCTGTGCTTTTGAACAAATCATCTTCTTAAAAACCCCTATACCTTGCTCATAAAGCCCATTTTGCACATAACCAGCAACCATTGCTGTCCAAGAAACAATGTTTCTAGCACCCATTAGACTAAACACTTTCTCCATATTGATTATATCCCCAGCCTGGGAATACATGGAAACTAAAGAACTCTGTACAAACACATCTACATCAAACCCACTTTTAACAATATTGCAGTGAACTTCACCCCCTTCCTTTACAGCAGATATAACTGCACATGACCTAATCACAAAAGGGAAAGTATAGTTGTCTGGCAGCAACCCACTATGGTGCATGCTTCCGTAAAGAATGATAGCCTTTTGGCAAGGACCCATATTGGCATAACCCCTGATCAACGTATTCCAAATAAAAACATCCTTTTGATGCACTCTATCAAATAGGGTTTGAGCATAGTCCATGGTAGGAGATAGCTCGCAAGCCAAGGCAACTAATTTTGTAGACAGCAGCAGACTGCAGCGAGTGCCCCTCGTGAAAATCAGAGCATGTATGCATTTAAGATGCCACAGAGAGGAACAAGAAATCAATAGATGGTTTAGAGGGCGGATGGAGTGGTAGTTAGCGTTATTGTAGGGAATTGAAGAGGTGGTGATCAGAGAGGTAAGCGGTTTAATCCTTTTTGAGAGTCCTTCACATTTCTGCAATGAACCAACTGGGAATTCCAAAGGGCAAAGAAATTCCGGAAAAGTCTCGCTCAGGAATACGAATGTTCTTCGTAGAAGCATTAGATCAAGCAGATGGAGTGCATACCTTACCCTCACAAACTATACCTGATGCAACGAGAGATTGAGCATGAAATATGTCCTGGACGGAGAGCTTGTGCTGGTGAATTGATATCGAAACCCGATTGAAAGAATACCCACCGATCTAAGAGAGCAGGCTGGTCATAAAGACCATCTCTGGCGCACACAGCAAACAGAACTCGGTAAAGGAAAAAAGAGCCACACTGTTACAGAGGAACCAATTTTCCCGCGTTTCCCAGTTTCCACCCCTTGTGAGCGTGCGTGCGAGCGAGCGAGAGATCACCCATTCTGCTGCCAATGGAAGGTCAAGCGCTCAGGGTTCCGCCTCCTCAAGAAGATTTCGATAGAAGAAACGTGAAGTCTCACGCAATGGAGAAAGAGAACGGCGCCAAGAAACTCTCCGCCGCCGATGCAACTCGTGGATAATAAGCAATAAGCACTCCCAATTGCCAAACCTTTCCTCGGTACAAATATTTAACTAGATGGTTAAATGTCGTCCTGATTTTACTATTATTGTCCTAATTTTAAAGTTAAAATTACTAAATTATCCTTAAATCAAATAATTAAACAACCCAATAACTACGCTCGACATCGTATGACTAAAGCCCTAAATCACTACTTGATTTTTCCTTCTTTATTCCTCCTCCATCAATGGAGTTCAGACGACGAGAATTAACTGGCGGAGGAGACGAGAAGATTCATATCAGAGGAGAGATGTTTTGAATCGCGAGAATGAAGTTAGATAAATGTGTCGACTCCGGTTCAGTACCTGAAGCCCAAGACATGAAGCTGGAGGCCGATCGGGAGAAGTTAGATTGAGATCAAAGATCGGAACTCCGAGATTCAACCTGATCTCGCTTGGGTTGGTGGATGCCGATAAAATTCTCAAGTACGAGTTGACCACTGAAGACGAGAGACATTTGGCGAAGGAATACAGTACGGCTTTGATGAGGAAGCATATGGCGAGGCAAGAGGAGGAGATAAATTTGCCGAGGAAGAAGAAATAGAAAGAAAGTATGTAGAGATACAGGAAAAAAGTAGTCTTGATCCAAGCCAATCAAAAGATTATTGCGTGCTGGAGAGCTCCAACGGCCTGCAATGCCACTTCATGATTTGATATTTGTTCGGGAACGGGAAACGAAGGTGAGAGAGAAGACTTCCGATAAAAAAAAGGATAATGTCATAATTTTTAGGTTAGGACGAGGGCGACAATTAGCAATCCCCACATTTAAGGGTTAATAACTTTTAGGTTAGGGCGAGGGCGACAATTAGCAATCCCCACATTTAAGGGTTAATAGCCTGCCCTGAAATTTGAAGTAAGTGACAATTTTGGCCTGAATTTTTGAATAAAATAGTTATGGTCAACTTTTCAAATAAATAGACAGATTTGATTCAGTTACGATTTTACGGTCAAAATTAACGGTTAATTATTTACCGGGTCAGTGACTCAGCTGCCTATGGTGACTAGAATCGTCCATGTCTTTATAAAATAAAAAAATTAAAATAAGAAAATTTTGAGCAGGTCTTCCTTTGCAAAATTAGGGATTCCAGACACCGAATCGACGTCTCTCACTACACCAATCCGTTGATCAATATGCTCTAATGACGACCTCCACTCTTTGCTCTTGAAGTTGGTAGTGCTCGAGTACCTCCATGCCCATCGGTCGGGTGGGTTTTGATCTCAAATTGATTCACCTGCTTACTAGCGGGTTGCTATAATTATGATCCGCCATCCACCCACATTCCTCTTCAGGTTGGGTGGGTGGATGACGAATGAGTTCGGTTTGGAATGCGGTTCAACCTGCAAAACAATTCTACATCCAGCCATTAAAAAAGTTGGGGTTAATTGCATGGTTGGTCAATGAGATTACTAAAAACGTTCATGTTTGGTAACTAAAAATATTTAATTCCGTTAGTGGTCATTAACTTTGGTATTAACGCTCATGTTTGGTCACTCTCCGTTAGTCGCCATCCATCTCCGTTAATGGAGTCCGTTTTGTGCTGATGTGGTGGAAGGAATTGTCTAATCACCCCTATTTAACCCCAAAATACTCATACCCGACCCGCCACATCACCCACACCCACCACATCATCCTGACCAGCCAACCCTTTAACCAGACCTGACCCACTCAAATTAAATCCCTAAAATTTTATCCCCCTCTTCGATCCACAGATCCACTTATCCCTTTGTTCGACTTGTCAAGATCTTGTTTCCACCGTGAACGACCCGAACGCTCCCTCGAGTGAGGACGATTTTAAAGGCGGAAGGAATTTTCTACGCGACGGCGGATGTCGCGAACCCGATTCTAGGTTTGGAGAGTTGGACTTGGTGGGGGATTTCGTGCTCCGAGCTCGCGGGATGCGGAGATGCGGCAGAGCAGGGTCCATTCGACACTAAACTGTCTACCACCTCTACTAGGCACGACAACGTGACGAGGAATGAAATGGAAGAAGCAATTTAATCTTTAAATAAACTCTCGTGGGTTCTATTGTTACTCCCTTCCTTGCAGAGACGTGTTTGGATGATCTTAACTCTGTAATGATGGTGATGATGAGTTTCAGTACTACTAGATAATATTTGACAACTAATTACCTTTCATGGTCTATTTCTATATGAGTTCGGAGGAGGAGATGCGGCGGCCATTGTCACCGTCGACGGAAGCTGAGACTTTTGGTGGTGGAGGGAAGGAATTGATGAGAGAGAATACGTACACAGTGATGGATAGTGATGCAGTTTCTGGTGGAAGTGACGTCGGAGATCTGAGACTGTGATATATCTTGGTTTTTGGAAAGAATCTACTCCTCGAATCAATTGGTGACGGAGCGTTAGGGTTTCACGACATTCGAGAAGGCATTGTGGAAATGGAGGGGATAAGTAGATCCGTGGATCGGAGAAGGGGATAAGTGGATTTATTTTAGACTTTAGGGATTTAATTTGAGGTTGGGCTAGTAAGGATGACATGGCGGGTATGGGTGACGTGGTGGGTCAGGTCTCAATATTTTTTAGTTAAATAAGGCTGATTAGATGATTTTGTCTGCCACGTCAACACATAACATACCCCATTAACGGAGATGGACGACGACTAACTGAGAGTGACCAAATGTGAACATTTTCACTAAAGTTAATGACCAATAACTGAATTAAATATTTCCAGTGACCAAACGTGAACTTTTTTAGTAATCTCAGTGACCAAATTTGCAATTTACCCAAAAAAGTTGACTAACATTTACAATAAGTTCCTCGCAAGTTTTTAAGACTACCAATTTAGACACTTCCCATTTTTTATCATGTGGATCCGTGTAATATTTGCATCATATTTTTTATTACTATATCAACCAATTGCGTAGAGAAAATTAACGCACTTTCTGACTTTGATACAATTAATATTTTATAATTTGCACCACAATATCTAATGAACATCACACAACATAGTAACCAATAATAGTAGTTGATAACACCTAAATTAGTGTTATTTAACCCTCATACCTAAATTAGTGTTATTTAACCGTCATATTAAGGTTTGTTTCGTGCCAATTCATGTGCATAATTGCTTGAACATCGTCGATTGCATCCCTATTTTGTTCCTATTTGAATTCGATGTGATTTTAGGGTGTATTAGACGATATATGTGAATTTGGTACAAAACAAGGTCACAAGTATAGCAAGGGGGCATGAAGCGGAAGATCGTGGCCTGGAAGCTGAAGATCACGATCGGGAAGGTAGACCGCGAACTGAATCTGAAGATTGCGATGCGGAAGACCCAGATCGTAGTTGCGAATTGTAGGGCTCAGGGCGTGAACTTCGTGAGGAAGGAGCCAGGGAGAAACAGAGACTTTCCCTAGTCGAATCACAACCACATTATTATTTAATCGCGAGGAAGATCGCGACCGCGAAGTCAGCTCGCGATCTCCTCATTTTCGAAGTCTAGGATGACGGCGTTTCAAGATCACAACCTCACTTGCGAAGATCACGACCGCAATCTCTATGCTTCTGGGCGCGAAATTCTCCGTCACCAGATTGCCTATAAATAAAAGACCCATTTCCCCCTCTTAAAGGAGCTGATTTTGAGAGAAATTTCTAGTTTTAGAGAAAGAGAGAAGCTGAAGGAAGGAGAAGGAGCTAGAAGAGAGGGAGCATATTCCTCAACCCAAGCTTCTTCAATTTCTTCTATGTTTTTCTCTTCCCTCCTTTATGGATTAGTCCTCTAAGGTACTAGGGGTTCTAAACCCCAAACCATAGTTTTAGGGTTTGAATGAATGAATGTGTTTATCTAGTTGATTCTATTGCTATTCTATCCTTGATTGTGTTTGGGTAATTTGCCTTAATCTTCTCTATTAGCCTACTTTATGCTTGTACGCTGGGTATGGAGTTCTAGGGTTAGATGGGCATGCGCCATCAAGCAAATTGAGATAGATGTATGAATATAGACCTATGGTGGTCGAGGCGACCGAACCCCTGCCGTAGGTTAGCCTTCCTAGATAGAACCCGAGATGAAACCTTGGTGTGGATGGTGGATAGTGTCCATTGAAATGAGCCATGAGGTTAAGGCCCCAGATACGATAGCCTAGATTGAGGTGATTATATATAGGTTTAGAGGAGGCGTACCTAGAGGCGTGTGGATAACCACGAAAGCTCACGAAAAAGAGTTCACTCGCCACATTCAATAACTGTAAGTATTTGTGCATGTATAGTAACCCAAAGATAGAGGAGGATTAGTTCCCTGAAGTACTTGCTTTTAGCTTTAATCAATCTCTAGTCTAGTTATCTCCTCAAGTCCTCCACTCAAACTTCCAAAACTGATTAACTAATTAGCAACTAGGTGGGAAGTAGGCTAGGGTACTAGGACTCGAGTAAAATACAACCTTGATCACCACTATACAACAAAGCCATCTTAAATTAAACTTGGCTTAGGATGTGGTAGTTGTTGACACGTGCTAACCATTGACAATAATCTGCACGGATTGAATCGATCAAGCTTTTTGGCGCCGGGTCCAGGGACCCGTGGTAACTAGTTGAAAATCATAAGTTGTTAGTTAGTATTTACCTTGTTTGTTTGTTTCGTTTTGTGTTTTTTGTGAGAGTTTTTGTTATTTACGTGTTTGTTTCGTTTTTGCTTTGTGTTTGTTTGTATTTTTGTTATTTTCGTGTGTATTTTGTTGTTTGTTTCGCCACCCAACTTCGTACGTCACAGTTTATTGAGGTTGTGTTTTGTAGCACCTTTGTATGCGAAGAAGGGATTCTTTGAAAATATTACCTCTTGATACAGAAATCGGGAGAACCCATCGGAATATGAGAAGAGATGCAATACCTCAAACTCCACCGATGGCGCATCCACAAGCTCAAGTTCCACCGAGGCCAAGAGCAATGGGTTCTTACTCTAGGCCAAGGGTGGATAATGTGAAATCACCTATTCTTCATCCGACGTTGCCCAACAACGAGTACGAGATCAAGCCGGGCACGATTTCAATGCTTCAAAGTGAGGTTTAATTCAATGGGATGATGAGTGAAGATGCGCATGCACATGTCAAGTCATTTTATGAATTGACGATGGAATCAGATTGAATGGAGTTTCTCAAGATGCTATTCAATTACTATTATTTCCATTTACCTTGAGTGGCGCAATAAAGAAATGGTGGAACAATCAACCACATCAATCCATCACCTCATGGGATGATCTATGCATTAAGTTCTTCGCAAGGTTATCCCACCTTCTAAAACAACTTTAATGAGAAGTGAGATTACTATGTTATGTCAAGAAGCAGATGAACCATTGTTTGAAGAATGGGAAGCAACTTATGAAGTGTGATTGGTGTGGCGACTCAAGTCATACTATGAAAGAGTGCAAGTCTATGATTGAGGCTTCACTACAATTTGAGCAAGCCAACTTTGTTGGAGGTCAATCTCAAGGGAACAACCCTTATAGCTCAACATATAATCCGGGTTGGAGGAATCACCCTAATTTTCTTTGGTCTTCTCCAACGGATAGGAAACCTCCAGGTTTTCAAT